AGAATTACATACATTTTATTTATATGATTCACCTATACCTGTTTTGCTTTTTTGTGCTTAGTGTTCAAAACAGAAAAGATAGTTATTTATAACTGACTTTTTTTATAACAATTGAAGGCAACTTCTTTCCGTCATGTTTGCTTTTTTATTAATAATTGTTTAATTTAGCATAATTGCACTTTTACTACTATTTCACATTTGAGCAGATTTTAAAAGGGGTCTAGTTTATCTTCCTACCGTGATAGACAAAAAATATTCCTTCCATGTACAGAATATTTTTATTTTAAAAAGTTGAGGGGAGTACTCTTCCATTAGAGATATTTAAGTCAACAGTTTTTAATTCCATGTATATTTTTTAAAATGTCACACTTTAAAGTAACTTACAGAACCTCAGATGAAAGCTCTTGCATAAATGCAAACTGCATTTGATTGTATTTGAATGTCATTTTCTATTACAAAAATGGGATTCTTAGCTCAGGGGTAGTAAAAATGACTTTGAATTCCTGAACTAGGTAAAGGCAGCATGGTGACTGGTTTGTGTTAGAGGACAATATTCTTTCTGAGATGATAGAAGATGATTTCTGAGTTATGATAGAAGATGATTTCTGAGTTATGGGTTCATCATTGAGACAAATATTACGCCTTTCATTCTGGGTTATGTGAATTGATTCAACACAAAACTGACTCACAAGATTGGTTTCATTCACAGTTGTTCATGCTCGTCTTCGTTCTTGAAACCCTGTGTGTACATCTTCATCTTCACCTGCTGGCTAACCCTGCCTTCTCTTGGACACTTCATCTGACCCATCTGTCCTTACTGATGTTGTACTTGCTCATGTACAAGTTTAACTGCCTTCTGCCCTGTCTTGTTAGCTACAATTTGAAAAAGTAAGGCCTTGTTCCACTTCATGATACTGTGTGCACGTCTAGGGACAAGTGTCTTTACTCCAAAGTGTCTATGTGTGATGAGTGATAGAGGTATATGGATACAGATAGATAGAAATAGAGGGATGTATCTACTCACTGATGTAGTTTATGGTTACCTGAGATCTTACGTGACTTGGTTCAGTTGTGTTAGGGAAAATTCCATTAAAATTAAGTTAAATAGTTTTTCTTAAAGGTTATGACTGCTGGTACAGGTGTAGCCAAAACTAGAAGTTGGATGTCCTCATTTCTTGCCTTGTTGAATTTCCACTCTGGCTTCCTTCCTTGTATTAAAGAACCATTTACTGTGTGTTGGGCCCTCTGCCTGGCCCTGGTCATGTATATTGAGCATGTCTTAAACCTGTGGTGAGGGAAGAAGATACTAACAAACCCCACATAAATACACATTTACTAATAACTGAACTAAGCATGCTTAAGGATTATGCAGTTTCTATGAGATTAAGTAATGGATAGGATATTGCCCTGAGAAATTGACTTTGACTTGCAGGATTTGGTATCATATTTAGATGGCCATATAATTTAAATGCAGTTTAATCAGGCAAATGTTTCTTGTACACTCACTCTGTACAGAGCCTCCCCCAAAATTAGAACTTGTCAACCACAGCTCTTCCCTTCAGTGTACAGTCTACAAAAGGGATAAAGTTAAAACATAACTATTAACATTGAGCAAAATGCAGAAGTCCCATGGATCAAAAGGTGAACTCTTTAAACAAGGTTGAGAAAAGAAGTGAAGAAAGTCTTCTAGATCCAAGGGGGCGGGGGAGAAGCAAAAATAGACCAAAATTAGAAATTACAGGAGTTTAGAAGTGACAGAAAATAATTTCCTTTTACAGAGGCATGTTTTTTGTGTTGGGTTACTTTAAACACCATTGAGAACATTGTATTTAAATACCTTTAGAGCCTACTGAAAATGCAGATATCCTGTTGTTCACGCTGTTGGAATACCTATGTTCTGTTTGGTTGCTAGCTGTAGGAACTGTTGCACACTACAACTCCAGTAGTAACTAATAATTCCTTAATTGCTTGGCATCTCTTTGAGGGCCAGTACATATTTTAATAACCATAGTGAAAAGTACTTGGTGTATTGAAACTGTTTCACAGAAAACAACTGCTCTAAAACTAAAAACTGAACTCTTCATAACTGATATGAGTGTGGTAGCCTAGTGAATACCAAATTCACGTTACAAGCACTGAGTACAATAACCTTTGTTACCGTGGGGCTTTGAGCCCATTCAGAAAGGGGTCACAACCATTTTCCTTGTACCTAGAATAGTTTGTCTAAATATTAAAGTGTTGGAAGATTATTTACTCATCAGCATACATTAACCAGTCCCCAACAGGCGGCTGGATTCCAGGTTCTGTGCAGGAGCTCAGTGTTACTGGCCAAGCTTACTAGGGGAGTAAGTGGAGAAGTATCTTTTAGAACAAATGGACAAATAAATGGCCTTTAATCTAATATTTTATATATATTTGTATTATTCATTTTAAATTTAATAAAATAATACATAATATAAACATAGATTATATATTTATTTACATATTGAATATATATTTATCTTTTTACACTTAGCTAGATTTAAAGTTAAGGATATTTCAAAAAAATTTTTTGATTTTGGCTTTTCTGGAAAAAATTGTGGAGGATCTGGCCACACAATGGGCCTGCCTTCCTGATAGCAGCAGTTCTTTGGAGCTAAGTAGCAGCTGCCCTCTTTAATTAGGGAATGTATTTCCCAGTGTGTGACAGGCCCCATCACAGTCTGTTACTGGTATCTGGTCTCTGCTTATTTCTGTGGTTTCCTGGACCTAATGACTCTTACGTAAGGGGGATTGTTGCCACTATGGGCTTCTTTGGTCTCTGTTAGCAATTTATGACCAAGTAGGCAGTTAATTTTAGTCACAGCAGCTTGTGTCTGTGTAGCACTTTGTCATTTACAGTAGTTCCCAAATTGTCACATTCATTAGAATCTTCTGGCCATCCTCTTCAAACAGGGATTATTGGACCTCATTCCTAAATACTGTGATTCAGTAGGTCTGAGGTGATGTCAGTGGATGTGTATTTATTTCTAGCCAATTTTCAAGTGTCACTGGAGCTGCTTACTTGAGAGCTACCTCTTGAGAACCACTGGCAAACCGTACTGAAATTATTTGCACCAAGCCACATGAGTTTTGGGGTGCTATGTGTGTGCCTTCCCCACCAGAAATAACACTTGTAAAGATTAAGCCCCTTACCCAGGGTCATAAGAAGTGGGCTTAGCTTCAGACTGTAACTTTAAAGGAAATCCAGCAGGAAACTACTCTGCATACATATGAGGAGTCTGATTGAGAATTCTGCCAAGAGTGATCATTGTCCTTAGAACACAGAGTTAGAACTTGTTCATATTTAATGAGCAAGGGCAAAAAGGAGAGGGTTGAAACTTGATTATTAGACATACCTGCTGAGGAGGGCAGAGTGGAGGAAACCCCGCCTGCTTGGAGATGGGCCAGCCCATAGGCAGAGCAGATGGATGCAAGAGACTCAACGTGGAGTGACAGGTGCTGCCACCCAGCCAGGCAGAGCATAGCGTCAAGTCTGTGACACTCGTAATTCTGAAGGGCAGGTTTTAAAGGGAACCGTGATTACACTGTGATCCCTGGGCTAGGGTTCAGAAGCAGGACTCCTTGCTGATCAGATTGCTAGTGGCTTATCAAGACAGATTGGCTGGACTTCAAATAATTATAGAATGCAACTACAGGAATACATTTTCCAAGATCAGGGCTCAGAGTGGGGGCTAGAGCTTGTAGGTAGATCTCACTATCACAGTCAAGCCGAACTAATAAGAAAGGGGATCTCTTAAGTCTCAAAGGTGAGGAGCTTTTTAAAATCTGAGTCAAAATTAGTCTATTGAAAAGAAGCCCTTCCTACTTAAGGGAAGAGAAGAAAGGTGAAGACTGGAATCCAGATAGGGCCTAACATGGATTATACTTACTAAAATTCTATCTGGTTAATACTCTATGAAAATGAGTATTAATATATAGTACATTCAATGAAAACTAATTTGATTGGGATTATTGAACAGTGATATAGTCCAGCTCATTTGAATAATTTTGTTTTGTTTTTGTGTTTTGAGACAGGATCTCACCATGTGTCCAAGGCTTGTCTTGAACTCACTAATGTTTTTTGTTTTTTGGTGGTTTTTTTTTGTTGTTGTTGTTTTTGTTTTTCCGGTACCAGGAATCAAACCCACAACCTCGTGCTTGCCAGGCAGGCACTGTGCCACTGAGCTAAATCTCCACCCCGCTGAACTCACTAATGTAATTCAGGCCAGCCTCAAACTCATGATTCTCCTGCCTTAGTCACTGAAGTGCTCTGATTACTGCCCTATGCCACCACATCTGGCAGAGAATACTTTTAAAAATAAAAACAAAATTTTTATTTTAATGTTGGAATTTTCTCAAATTTTGTGCTAAATATGATATATTAAAATATAGGTCCTTTTTCATTCTTCAGTCTGATAATGTAGGTAAGACAGATATAAGAGATATTTTGGGAATTGGGGTGTGTAGGAATACAGTGGGTATTGTAATTTTGTCAGATTAAATCATTACTTTTCTAGTGGTTTTGTACCCTATCCTAAAAGTGAACTATAAAAACTAATCCTCATTAGTGGAGGATTCTGAGTTTCTCCTAAGATGGGCTATTGAGTGTGTTTGATTATAAAAAACTATGAACATAGAAGAGCTAATTATGTTATTAATAATAGTCTAGGACTATGAGAATCACCTGAACACAGTAGTATGTACAGCACAGTACTCTTGCTCTGGTGGGATAGCTGCAGGACCCTCTTTCTTCTAGTTACCTCAGATCAGCTTTAAGCAGCCTTGAGATTTCCTGTAGAGGGGAAGACTTGGGGCAGGGTTTTTTCTAAGAGAAATAAGAACATGAACCATCTTGAAAAACAGTCTGTGAAGAAAGATGTAACTTGAACTACCCACATCATAATGTGCAAACCAAAGCAATTTTAAAAGTAATGGAGAGTTGTAAAACTGCTTCTGTTTTTGTTATGTTTTTTAAACAGGCTCATGCACAATTAGTTCGAGAAGTTGATGTGGAGAAGGTGTCTGCTTTTGAAAATCCATATGTAGATGCAATAAAGAGTTTGTGGAATGATCCTGGAATCCAGGAATGCTATGATAGACGACGAGAATATCAGTTATCTGACTCTACCAAATAGTGAGTATCCAGCCAGGAGGCCTTTTCCATCTTTGTCTTTACTTTGATGTTAAATATGCTGCATAGGCCTGGTGTGGTCACCCATGCTTGTAATCCCAGCACTCAGGAGGCTGAGGAAGGGGGATTGCTGTGAGTTCAAGGCCAGCCTGAACTGCATAGTGAAACCCTGTCTCAAAAAGACAAAAAACAAAAAAGCTGCACAATTATAACTTCTGCAGTCTGTGCTATGTATAAACCAATCAAACATAGAAGTTACTCTGTATAGGTATTATACTTATGCCAAACTCATAAATATAAACTATATTATAAGAGACTGAAATAATGAGTCAGGGAAAATATTACTTTTATAGTTTCCTTTTTTCTGTTTGAAAAACAAGCAGAAGAGTCGTTTCACACCCTTTCTCCTCCCCAAAACTGCAAACCAGTGATTCCTAAACACATACACCATTGTTATTTGAAATCTTGTAATAATAATTTTTATACAAATTGTGATAGATCTTATTCATGTGCTAGAAAACACCTACACACATTAGAAATTGCAAACAAAAATATATTTGATTATGGCTTCCTGAAACATAAAACTTCCTAGTTGCCGGTTTTCAGACCCAGAACCTTGACTGCTTTTTGAGAACCGCTATTAGGTTGATGGATGGGTTTTCTTTTGCATGAAAATTGTGAGTCTGATTTTGTATTCATTCCAGATTTATTTTGTAAGCTGTCAGTCAAATTCATATATCCTGAGATTTGTGTCCTAAAGGAATCTATTGATTCTTTAGATTAAATCTTGCTTAACAGGAAGAAAGTAAATTTTGGCAATCTTTAGATTAATGTAATCAGTGTAGTCAGCAGCCCAGGTAACCAGGTGCCTTAAAAATAATGGGTTTTTAATAAAATGGGGTAGGTGGGGCTAGAATTTAGCTAGATTTCTGTCTCCATTAATTATGTTAAATCAGTATTTGCCTCTTGTTTTGGCTCTGGGCAGACAGAAGAATGGGTGGAAAATATTCAGCAGCTGGAAGCCAGTTCATATGATAAAGTGACCCAGTAGATGACAGTAGAACCTTAGGAAAAATGAGCCCAAATGGGCTGATTGGTATCACTCAGTAATGCATCAAAGACCCAAGAGTTATGTGTTGCTTTTCTAGGAGTTATGATTTGGCCTTTCCAAGCACTTGTATAAGATGAGCTTTGATTTAGATGAGCCATAGAAATATTGCTTCAGAAATTCTTATATTCCTGTGGTAAGTTTGAATCATATAATTCCGACATAAGACATAAAATGTTCCATGTCATTTTTTAAAGTAGCTCTCTGTATTTCTGAAATGTGTGCTGTACTCATTTTATCTCTTCTTTCTTCTACCATATTTTTCATTGCCCTTCTTGTTGCAGATCTCTCCTACTAGTCTGCTCATCTTCCTTCATCTTTCCCACCCATCCTCTCTCCCTTTCTCCTTCCCTTCTTTCTTTCCTACCTCCCAAGCTCTCACTATATGAGTTTCTGTGAGTACAGAGATGAAAAGATGTGTTCAGTTCTTCTCTGCCCTCTCCACCTATGACCACCCGTCTGTTTTTTGCTTCCTTCCCCCTCTGTCCTTCCGTTTCCTTTGCACTTTCAAAATTCTTCCCTCTTTGATGTCACTGTTGTTTTATCCATCCTCCCCATTCCTGCTCAGTATGTCCTCACTTCTTTACTCCTCCACCTCATCTTTAATTTTCTCTACTTCTCTTCAACTCTTTTTCACTTCTCACTTTGACACTGTGATACCTTTACTAAGTAATACTGCATTATAAAGTTAAATCTTTTTTCTTTTACCACTATCAGTTTCCTCCTGACCTCTGTCTTTTTAGTTATTTTAAATCCTGTTTCTTCCCCTCCTGACCTCTTCCATTCTTGAGTGTTACCTATAGTTAGTACCTTTGTGGAGGGATTTGCTAGTTGGGAATGTGAGCTCTGATATCTAATAATTACATGCTTACCACCGTTAGGTTTGTTACTGAGGAATCTGATTTACGGGTCCAAGAAATTCCTTTGCACAGAAATATCTGCACTGACTACTGTGAATGTGTTCTTGAGATAAACCTCTATCACCTCCAGTGACATTCCTCTAGGGTAGATTTGTGGATTTATAGATGAGTGTGAATTAGATGTTGCTTTAGGGCAAAGTGTTAGCCTGGACATTTCTCTAGGTCTTTGTCAGTGCTGTGATCTTCAGAAAGCCACCATCTTAGAATTTTGCCAGTACAGACTGAGTCCACCCTAGAAATAGGCCTGCTTGTTCAACACGTTTCTTATGATAGAATCAGACCATGAGGAGGGGCATATGGCTTAGGCTGTTCTGAAGTTCTCAAGTAATTATTTTTTAAATAGTTCAACTCTTCCCTAGTGGAATAGGGAGAAGTTGATTTCCTGAATTTCATATATGTAGGTATATGCACCTACTATATGTATATACAACTAATTCTTTAACCATGTTTTTATTGCTGAAGTAAGTTATAACTTGTCCTTGTATTCTTAGACATTTCAGTATATATTTCTGCATAAAAATATTGTACCTAAATTTAATAATCAGTTCTTCTAATTCTATACCCACTTCATATTTAGATTTCTCGAATTCTTTCAAAATGTCCCCTAAAGGAGGTTGATTTTTAGGACTATACATTGAATCTGGTTCTTATGTCTCTTAAGGCTCTTCTAGAGACTTGTTTTGCATTTTAGTGGCTGAAGGAATTGGCCTAGATTTGCCTGATTACTTCATAATAGTACAATGTAGCTACTCCTCCATCCCACAGATTCACTGTGAACTGGAAATTTCATTAAGTACTTGGTTGCATTCCGGGTAAACATAGTTACTCGGAAGCATTATACGTGATGTTGTACCCTGGCTTATACATCACTGGTAGATTTACCACAATATGAAGATAGTGGCCCCTCCATTGATTGTAAACCTGTGTTTTCTCCCCTTGAGGCATTATTTTGTCAGCCAGCAGTCTTAAGTTCCAAATCAACGCTTCACCTGATGCTTTTAATTCCAGTTGATAATCCTTGCCTGATTGACTAGGGTTTGTATAAGAATGATTTTCTGCCTGCATCAGTTGATTTATATTGTCACTTTTCTGTGAAATAGAAGGTGTTATATACTTCCTAATGAAAAGATATATGTTCTGGTCTTTAGTTTAAGATCAGTAATTTGTTGTGTGGACTAAATAAATAAGATGATAATGATGGTAATTTGTTATCCAAACCAGGATATTTGGAGAAAGAAGCAGTTGCTATTATACTGAAGTGTCAAGGGAATCACTAGAGCAGGCCGGGTCATTCAGGTCACCTTAGCTAAATGAAGTCTGGAAAGACTGATTGGTTGGTTGGTTGGTTGGTTTCCTTCCTTTTCTCTGAAATAGTTTATTTGAAGAAGGATGGAAACTTAAAGGGCAGTATTTAGAAACCTGAGTTAACTGCCCCATGTTTCTGACCTTTTCCAAGGATGTTGCAGCATTCTTGATAGACCAGGGCCCATGTAATCTGGTTAAAATGCCTTAATCCCTCCTGTGCCAGGAGGCCTGAGAAGAAAGGTGATCTCATTCTTCCTGATGTGAGTTGTAGGGGCGTTACCTTTTTCTCTTGCCCAGTTACCTTCTCAACACAGAGATAGGCCCTGTGGTGCCTCAGATCAGCCATTACTGCTGAGTTCTGAAGCTTTCTCCAGGATGGTCACAGTAGATGTCCTGTGAACCATGGAGATGGGTGGTGGAGATACAGGTCCAAAATAGCGAACATCATCATTCCCAGCACTGAACTTGTTTTCATGGAATAACTCAAAATAATTCCTTTCTTTGTATTTGAGACAGCTGTTACTCCTTCCCTTCTGACTTGTTTGTGTATGTTTCCTATGGATCTTGAGTATTTATCTTTCAACTTTCCTTCATATGTTTCCATGTCACTGTTTTTTTTTGTTTTGTTTTTGTTTTTTTAATCTTTTTGAGGCAGGGTCTCAGTATGCAGTTTAGACTGGCCTTCAGCTCACTTTGTAGCCCAGGTTGGACTTGAACTCACAGTGATCCTCCTGCCTTGGCCTCCCAAGTGCTGGGATTATAGACCCTGCTTGTTTTCTGTCTTTTAAATAAAAATATACTTCATTGATATTTTGGATCTAATTCTTTTTTTCTCTCACCTTGCTTTGGACCTAATTTCTTACTCAGTTATTGACCTATGAAAATCTTTCTGAGCTCAAACTTCTGAGTACTGACTGTAATGACAGTTCTTTAGTTTAGGTTTAGGGGATGTGTAGATATCGAATTCTGACTTCACAAATATCCATGAAATAATGGATGGCTAATTTCCACTGTTTCTATAAACTTTAACCACTACAGATAAACTATGAATTTTCAGAGCTGAAGGTATTCAGGGTTGGGTCTTTTTTTCCTCCTGTTTTTAAGGTCTGGTATCTAAAAAGCTATATTACCAAAAACAACTATAGCTACTATTTACTGAACATTTACTATGTGTTATATTCTGTGTGTAGTAATTTACATGTTCTATTTCATCTAATCCTAAAAGTCCCCACAATGGTACAATTTCTTATCACCTCCTTTTTATAGGGAAAATTTAGGGCTGGGGAAGACCGAGTAACTCGTTCAAGCCACACAGGTAGCATGTGATAAGAATAGGTATCCAGTGCAAATTCACTTATTCCAGAGCCTAAGCTTTTAACCACTGTGAAGTAAAACTTCACACAGGGATGGATGGAAGATAGATGCATAGATAATTGATAGCTGTTAGATAATCATTGGGCAGCTGTTTTATAAAAAAATCACCATGAAAGATGGCCATGAAAGGTTATTAATATTTTCTATAAGTAGTTTCATATTTATAAGGTTGAAAGGAATAATTATATCAAGTTTACTGAAAAACAAACCCAAAAGGTTTTTGATTATCATCATCAGAACTTAACCGTGTTTAGCTGTATCACTCATATTAATGTAGAAGATGTTCCACACCACAG